CAGCTCAAAAAAAACCAACAACAGCAAAAAAAAGTCTCTGGAACAAGAAACTGGCAACATCAGGTCCCCCAAGAGAAAGAAACTGCTAGGTAGGGTAAGACAAGGAAGACCTCACTACAGTTTTGGAATTTTTAATCCTATGAATTCATTATCCAGTTATAATAAATAATTTGGCATTTTGAAAAAGAAATAGTTGCTAAGGGTAGTCAATAATCAATTCTTCTACACAGGTTATATATGATGTTTTAAAATGATATTAGATGTTTGCCAGGCGCGGTGGCTCACACCTGTAACCCTAGAACTTTGGGAGGCCAAGGTGGGAGGATCACTTGAGCCCCTAAGTTTGAGACCAGCCTAGGAAACACTGCGAGACCTTATCTCTACAAAAAAATTAAAAATACTAAAAAAAAAAAAAAAAATTAGCCAGGCATGGTGGTGTTCACCTGTAGTAGTCCCAGCTAGCTACTCAGGAGGCTGAGGCAGGAGGATTGCCTGAGCCCAGGAGATCGAGACTTTGGTCAGTTTTAATCATGCTACTGCACTCCAGCCTGGGCAACAGAGTGAAACCCTAAATAAAAAAATATATATATTAGAAATTTGAATCTACACTTGAATAGATAAAGAAAGGGTTGGCAAACTTTCTATGATGGGCCAGATAGTAAATATGTCCGACTTGCGGGTGACTGCACTCTCGGCTGCAATTACTCAACTGCCAGTTGTCTTCCAAAAGCAGCCACAGACGAGAAGTAATGAATGGGCATGCCTGGGTTCCAGCAAAACTTTATTTACCAAACCAAGCAGTGAGTAGATTTGGCACATCGACTGCGGCTTGCCTAGCCCTGCCCTACAGAACCCAATATTTCATTTATCATCTTTTTCTTTCCTTTTGAGTCAGGGCGAGTCTCACTCTGTTGCCCAGGCTGAAATGCAGTAACATGATCATGGCTCACTACAGCCTCGACCTCCTGGGCTCAGGTAATCCACCCACCTCAGCCTCTCAATGAGCTGGGACTATAGGAGTGCACTATCATATCTGGCTAATTTTTATTTTTATTTTTGTAGAGACGGGGTCTTACAGGCTGGTCTGAAACTCCTGGACTCAAGCAATTCTTCTGCCACGGCCTCCCAAAGTGCTGGAATTACAGGTGTGAGCCACTGTGCCTGAATTATTTATCATCCTTTATGTCTAAAATTAAGTTAGCGTTTTTTCCTCTGTAATACAGAAAAAATAATGATAAAAGTCTCCCCCCAAAAGTCACATTGATTTTTTTTTTAACATCATACTGATATTTCAAGCAAATATCTGTTGACTGTGCTCCGGCCACACTAGCCTTTCCACTCCTTTCGCACGTTCCCATCTCAGGACCTTCACACTCGCTTGTTCCTCAGCCTAGAAAGGCTTCCCCGCATATTCACACCCCTGACTTCTTTTTGCCCTTAACTTCTCCAGCAACGAGTTTTCCTTGACCAGGCAGGCTAACTAACCCATCTCCATGCTCTTATTTATTTATGTATTGATTTTTGAGTCAGGGTTTCACTCTGTCTCCCAGGTCGAAGTAGAGTGGTACAATCATGGCTCAATGCAGCCTTGATCGCCTGGGCTCAGGCAATCCTTCTGCCTCAGTCTACCAAATAGCTGGGACTATAGGTATGTACCATCATGTCTAGCTCCCCTACCCCTATTCTCTATCACATCACCGGTTTTACTCATTTGGAGAGATACATGCTATCTTTTTTTTTTTCTTTAAGATAGGGTCTGACTCTGTCATCCAGGCTGGAGTACAGTGGCACAATCACAGCTCACTGCAAACTCAACCTCCTCTAGGTTCAAGCAATCCTCCCATCTCAGCCTCCTGAGTAGCTAGGACTTCAGGTGTACACCACCACACTCAGTTAATTATTTTTATTTTTTGTAGAATGGGGTCTCGCTATGTTGCCCAGACTAGCCTTGAACTCCTGGTCTCAAGTAATACCCCTGCCCTGGCTTCCCAAAGCATGGGATTACAGATGTGAATCACTGCACCTGACCAATATACACATATTTCAAAACACCACATTGTACATCATAAACATATATATACACACACACATTTTTTGTCAATCTTTTACAAATACAAAAATAATGCAGAATGGTGGAAAGCTGTCAGTGACATGAAAAATGTGGAAAGCACAGCAGGACAGGTGGTCTGGGGGACAAGGCAGGCCTCGCTGAGCAGGTGACATGTGGGCAGAGACAGGAAGGAGGTGCGCGAGCCAGTCATGCAGATTCTAGGGAAGAACATACAGGCGACGTCCTGATGGAAGGGCAGTGCAACAGCCCTAGGGTGGCGGCTTGCCTGATATGGACAGGAGCCAGTAAGGAGGCCTCGGGACGGTCAGAGCAGACAGAGGGTGGGAGAGAGCCGGAAGAGATGGAGTCGGAGAGAAATGCAGGACCAGATCACGTAGGCTGTGGCTGCACAGTCACTTGAAGGTTTTTGGACTGAGAATGAAATGGGGAGTCACTGGAATTTTGAGCAGAAGGACGCTGTGACCTGGCTGCTTTGTAGGAAACAGACAGGCAAACCAGGCACGGTGGCTCAAGCCTGTAATCCCAGCACTTTGGCAGGCTGAGATGGGAGGATGCTTGGGAAACATAGGAAGATCTTGCTGCTACAAAAAATAAACAAATTACCCAGGCATGGTGGTGCATGCCTGTACTCCCAGCTCCTCGAGAGAATGAGGTAGGAAGATTGCCTGGGCCCAGGAAATGGAGGCTGCAGTGAGCCACGATCATGCCACGATACTTCAGCCTGGGCAACAGAGTGAGACCCCAGCTCAAAAGGAAGCAGATAGGCAACAGAGGACACGGGTAGGATAAGGAAAACCAGTTGGCAGATTCAAAGTAATCCAGGCAAAAGATAATGGTGACTTGGACTACAGGGGAAGTGATAAGAAGTGCCAGGTCCTGGATAAATCTGGAAAGAGTGTCTGGGATTTCCTGATGGCTTGGATGGGGAGTGTGAGAGAGAAGGGGACCCAGAGAGGGCACCAGGGTTTCTGACTTAAACCAGGGAAGGTGCAGCTGCCCACAAGTGAGTGGGGGAAGCCAGGAGGTGGAATGCAGACTCTGAGCAGGGTAGAGCAGGAGTTGTTTCAGATACCCCCTGCTTCAGATGTCTCCTTAGATATCCAAGCAGAGATTCGGAACAAGCTATTTGTGGATTTCAGAAGAGAGGCCTGGCTTGGAGATCCGTATCAGGGAATTGTTGTCATACAGATCATACCTCAAGCCATGAGACAGATGAGGTCACCGGGAGAGGACAGACTGAGCAGGGAGAATGACCAAGCATAGGCCACGGCAACAAGTAGAGGCAGGGGAAGAGGAGGAAGCAGCAAGAGAGGCCAAGGTAGGATAAACACCGGGAGATGGCTTAAAGCTGGTGTGTAACTTGTTTTCACGAGATGGACAACACACTGCATGACCAACAGTACAATATGTATTTATTTTTCTCTTTTTTTGAGTCAGGATTTCACTCTATCACCCAGGCTGGAGTGCTGTGGCACCATCACGACTCACTGTAGCCTCGACCTCCTGGGCTCAAGCAATCCTCCCGCCTCGGCCTCCCAAGTAGCTGGGAGTACAGGCGCCTGCCACCATGCCCCGGCTAATTTTTTTAAAAAATCTTTGCAGAGACAAAGTCTCACCATGTTGCCCAGGCAATCTTGAACTCGTAGGCTCAAAGGATCCTCTTGCCTCACCCTCCCAAAGTGCTTTAAGGTGTGAGCCACCGTACCTAGCCCTGCAATAATCAACAGGAAGCAGACTGTGTTCTATTCCTACTTTCAGTTCTAAAAGCCTTAATGAACGAACAAGGTCGATATGTACACAGGGCACCAGAAACCCATCTGGTTTCTCCAGTTATAATGATGATTTCATCGAGCAATGTTTCATATATTATTTACTCAATGGAAACAAAGTCTGTTATCCCTAAAAAATATTCCATGTCAGTCTGGAAGTGGTGGCTCATGCCTGTAATCCTAGCACTTTGAGAGGCTGAGATAGGAGGGTTTTTTGAGCCCAGGAGTTCAAGACCAGCCCTGGCAACATAATTAGACCTCACCTCTACACAAAATTTTAAAAAGTAAAAAATTTTTTTAAATTCCTGTAATCCCACGCCTTTGGGAGGCTGAGGTGAGTGGATTGCCTGAGCCCGCGGGTTCAAGACCCACCTGGGCGGCGAGACCTCATCTCTACAATAAATCAAAAAATTAGCCGGGCATGGTAGCGCATGCCTGTAATTCCAGCTACTTGGAAGGCTGAGGCGGAAGGATCGCCGGAGCCCAGCAGGTCGAGGCTGCGGTGGCCGGGAGCGGCCACTGCACTCCAGTCTGGGTGACAGAGTGAGACTCCAACTCAAAAATAAATAAATAGATAAATAAATAAATGAAGAAAAATTAGCCAGGCATGGTGGCACAAGCCTGTAGTTCCAGCTACTTGGTAGGCTGAGGCAGAAGGGTTGCCTGAGCATAGTGGATCGAGGCTGTGGTGGCCGTGAATCTGCCACTGCACACCAGCCTGGGAGACAGAGTGAGACTCCAACTCAAAAACAAAAAAATTAGCTAGGTGTGGTGGTACATTCTTACAAACCAAGCTGCTCGGGAGGCTGAGGCGGGAGAATCGCCTGAGCTCAGGAGATTGAGGCTGTGGTGACCTATGATCATGCCATTGCACTCCAGCCTGGGTGACAGAAAAAGCAAAGTGGGCCTAAAAGCAATGACTTAGTTTTATCTTTGCTGTTTCATGAAAATTAATTTTCTGTATTAAAAACAATTGTTTCTAGTGAAACATTACCTTTCCTAAAATGGAAACACATTTAAACGATTATAATTTATACCATAAGACAAGACTATATTGTACAAGAAATTTACAAGTTAAAAATAAATAAAACGAGAATACAAGTTATCCTTAGGTCATTTTGTAGTTAACAGACAAATAACCTGTTTCAACGTCAACTTACCTGAGTTGCTTTGCATAGCTGAGTTCAATCTCTGTCCTCTCCTTCACAAACTTGATATATTTTTCAAGAATATCAATTCCCCACTGTGTGTGTTTTTCCAAGTTGTCAAACTGATCCTGTTAAATCAAACAAAGAAAGAGAGTTTAGACTTTCTGTGTGACTAACATGCTTTCAATGAACAGCTCTCTGAACAACGTATTATACTACATACAAAGTAGTACTAATATTTTCCATGAATACACTTGGGTGCTTTTTTGTTGAGTGGTTTTAAATCAACATTACCAAATTTGGCCTGAAAACAGCCTGGAGCACTGAACTCTGACCCACTCATTCATGTTTCCTATTCCCTTTAGAAACATGGGTTCTGGATATTAAAGTCCCAGAGCAAAGAAAAATGTCATCCCCAGAGGCCAAAAACTGACAGGACACAGACACACACACACATACATTTTAACTCAGGTATACGGTATTAGCACCTTAACTGTTATCTTTTTTCTTTTTTTTTTTGAGTTGGAGTCTCACTCTGTTGCACAGGCTGGAGTGCCATGGAAAGCTCACGGCCACTGCAGCCTTGACCTACTGGGCTCAGGTGATCCTTCCACCTCAGTCTTCCAAGTAGCTGGAACTACAGGCATGCGCCTCGACACCCGGTTAATTTTTTTTAATTTATTGTAGAGACGCGGTCTCACCAAGTTGCCCACGCTGATCTCAAACCCCTGGGCTCAGGAAATTCTCTCGCCTTGGCCTCCCAAAGGGCGTGAGCCACTGCACCTGGCTATGTTTGAATAATAATTCAATACAGCTAATTAGGCTGGGTATGGTGGCTCGTGTCTATAATTCCAGCACTTCAGAAGGCCAAAGCAGGAGGACCACTTGAGCCCAGGAGTTTGAGACCAGCCTGGGCAACAGAGGGAGATCTTGTCTCTCAAAAAAAAAAAAAAAAATTCAGGCAGGTGTGGTGGTGTGCACCTGTAGTCCCAGCTACTTGGAAGGCTGAGGCAGGAAGATCACCTGAGCTCAGGTTGAGGTTCATTTGCAAGATAAAAGATATTTAAGATCACTTGAGTTTCTGCCAACTAGAGATGAAGAATGAACATAAAGTATTCAGGCGGTGAGCCATGATTGTGGCACTCTACTCCAGCCCGGGCAACAAAGTGAGACTCTGATTCAAAAAAATAAATACATAAAATAAAACCTACTCTCTAAAAACACCCCAATAGACTCAACTAGGGTCGTGACTGATTGGATGAAGAGGGTGGGAGAAATGGGAGGCAGAGGGAGGATTCTGGGGCAACTCTCAGCTTCTGATTCCTGGAATTAGACAGACGGTCCACATATGGAGGAGCTGCCATCTGGGACAAAAAGCAAACGCGGTTTTGATATGTTGAACACGGGACTGACATGTCCAGAGGAGAACTAGAAACACAGACCCATTCAGAGCCCAAGAAGAAGGCAGGTGCGTAGGTGGGTCCGAGGCCAGAGCCAAGGATCAGGATGCCAAGGCTCCTGCAGCTCCACAGATATTAGCGAGGAGGGCCCGGCCCAGGAAGCAGAGCCCAGAAGGGACCGTGGAAGTGAGCCAGCGTGCACATCCCAGGCAAGAGAGCCGTCTGTGCAAATGGAATTCTCCATGAAAAATTCGCTGCCTCCCGAGAGGCCAGTAACAGAATGAGGGGTTCTAGCACAGGAGCAGGACCTCACAGCCACAGACCAGCAAACATCTTCACATGTCAGTCACCGACCTGCCAAAATTTTGTTCATTTTGTTTTCTCATATATATATATTTTTTTGAGCTGGAGTCTCATTCTTTGTCGCCCAAGCTGGAGTGCCGTGGCACGCTCATGGCCACTGCAGCCTCGACCTGCTGGGCTCAGGCGATCCTTTCGCCTCAGCCTTCCAAGTACCTGGAACCATAGGCACGCGCCACCACACCCGGCTAGTTTTTGATGTATTCTAGAGATGAGGTCTCTACGTTGCCCAGGCTAGTCTTGAATTCCAGAGCTCAAGTGATTCTCCCACTTTGGTCTCCCAAAGTGCTAGGATTACAGGCATGAGCCACCATGCCCAGCTTACGATTGAGATTTTAAAAGCTGCAGGTACTTCAAACAGGAAACCATCATCAGAGTCCACCTCATAAACGCATCTATCACTGGCAAATGTTTCCTCTCACCCTTTTATTTATTTTATTTGTGGCAATAACACTTCACATAAGAGCTACTGTTTTAGCAAATTTTTTAGGTATACCATACAGGATCAGTAACTACAGACACGATGCTGTACATTCAGCACGTCTTTCAAGCCCAGCACCCATTTCTGGTGTGCCCATTGGCACTGACTCTCTTTTCCATTCAAAGCAGTTGGAACTCAAGGGTGGGATCTGCCGACACCGGACACCCAGAAGGACGGGGGTGAGGGGGGAGGGTATGCACCAACACACAGGGTACCTGGTCCACTACCCGGGAGACAGAGGGCCAGCTAGATCCCATACTCCACCTGCACGCAGCTACTTATGTAGCAAATCCTCACTCGTACCCCACAACGCAAATAAAATAAAAGGAAATAAAAACAAAGCAGTGCAAACTGTAATACAAGTCGATTTTCCATCTAAGTCAAACTTGTGATGGCGGGACAGGCAGCCAAGTCAAAAACACGGTTTCTCAAACTTGAACAATCCTCTTCCAAAGAAAAGTAATTTCCTCCAGTTTACTCCCTCCCAGGCCCACAGAACAGTAGGAGAAACATCAACTTATGAAATTAAAGTATTACATTCCTAAAATGTTCCTCTGCTCAAAAATAATCACTGTAAAATGTTTGTTTTTATAGCTAATAATTTTTAATATCATCCTAAAAATATAGGACAAATTAAAAAGTTCTCATTGATTCTTAGTCTTCAAGAATATATACTCAACAAACCCGTAGGTTCCATTTTAAGAAACACTGCTACGGAAGATTATTTATTTATGATCTCTATAAAGACAAGGTTTGTCAAGGAAATTGATAGTGTAAACAAGACTTTAGGTCTCTATAAACTACTTGAGAGAACAAATATACAAACAATTCAAGTACTGATTATAAATCATTCTCAGCAATTTAAAACAAGGCTTCTAGTGTGCACCACCTGCAGTTCCCGTTACTTGGAAGGCTGAGGCAGAAGGATCACCGGAGACCAGCAGGTCGATGCTAGAGTGGTCGTGACCGTGCCACTGCACTCTAGCCTGGGTGACAGTGTGAGACTCCAAACAAAATAAAAATAAGAATAAAATAAAACAAGTCTTCTTTTAAAGTCCTCTACTAATCGGCAACCTTTGTTGATCTAGTTTCACAACAAGAATATTTATTTAAAAAATAATCAACACCCTTCCCTCTATTTGAAAGCCCTTTGGCCAGGCGTGGTAGGTAACTCATGTCTGTAATCTCAGCACTTTGGGAGGCCGAGGCAGGAGGATTCTTGGGTCCAGGAGTTCGAGACCAGCCTTGGCAACACAGCAAGACCTTGTCTCTAGAAAAAAATTAAAACATTAACCAGATATGGTGGCTGGTAACTGTAGTCCCAGCTACTTGGGAGGCTGAAGCAGAAGGATCGCCTGAGCCCAGGAGGTAGAAGCTGTGGTGAGCCCTGATCATGCCACTGCACTACAACCTGTGTGACAAAGTGAGACCCAACTGGAGGGGGGGAAAAAGAGCCCTCTGTTTGTACCATTTTTCCATCATCTTCAAAGCCGTAGTTATTTCCAGCAGCTATAGGTGCCACCTTGAAAACTTACAAAGAGAACATGCTCTTAGATTTCACGCTTGTCAACAATCTGACCACATTTTCCTCCCTATTCTATTGGTTCTTTTTGGCCCTGGTGTATACAGTAGAAAGCCACAGCTTTTGATGCCAAAGCCCTTAGAAACAAAAACAAAAACAAACCATCTACATTTGACTGAGTCCACCTTAACCACTGTGACTGGCCTCACATCAACAATTGCTCTCTATTTAAGTTATCTGTATTCAAGACCATTCTGCAAACTGTAATAAAGCACTTACCAAAATGACAGGGTCCACATAAGATAGAGGATCTTAACAATAAAGACCTTCCCCAGTAACAAATGAATCAGAGCTCGTCTGTGGCTACAGCAGACCTCTTTCTGTGCTACCTTCAAGCATCCCTGATGATACCCTACCCTATTCTTATATCTCACGGATTGCCAGGGCGTGGATGTTTTGGACAGCAGCTGAGAGAAAATCCAAAACAGACGAAAAATTAATCAACCCACTTCCATTCTTGACAAAAATGTGTCAAACTTCATGGAGAAAAAAAAAAACCTCCGCCGGGTCTGGTGGCTCAGCCTGTAATCCCGCGCCTTGGGAGGCTGAGGTGAATGGATTGCCTGAGCCCATGGGTTCGAGACCCGCCTGGGCAGGCGAGACCTCATCTCTACAATAAATCAAAAAATTAGCCAGGCGTGGTAGCACATGCCTGTAGTTCTGGCTACTTGGAAGGCTGAGGCAGAAGGATCGCCGGAGCCCAGCAGGTCGAGGCTGCGGTGGCCGGGAGCGGCCACTGCACTCCAATCTGGGGCGACAGAGTGAGACTCCAACTCAAAAAACAAAAACAAAAACAAAAAAACCCCCTCCAAATCTTAAAAAGATCCCTTTGTGAGCAAATATTATAAATGGTCCTTAAAAGATAGCCCGTGCTCTTTTGGGGATGCGACCATTATCAAAAGTGCATCCCTTCCTGCTTGGTGTCACATGGGTTCTGAAGCCCCCTTTGCCCTCTTAAAAACCACGGAAGGTTGGGCATGGTGGGTCACGCCTGTAATCCTAGCACTTTAGGAGGCCAAGGCCAGAGGATCACTTGAGCCCAGGACGAGACTAACCTGGGCAAAATAGTGAGATCCCGTGTCTATATAAAAAACCCAAACATTAGTCGGACTTGGTGGCACACACCTATAGACCCAGCTACTTGGGAGGCAGAGGCAGGAGGATGGCCTGAGTTCAGTAGGTTAAAGCTGCAGTGGGCTATGACCTTGTCACTGTACTCTAGCCTGAGGGACAGGGTAAGACTTGGACTCAAAAACTCAAAAAAAAAAAGAAAAGGAAAATAAAAAATTCATTGAGAATC